TTTTAAAAATAATAATAATGCATTATTATTAGTATTATTACATTATATTATTATTATTAGTTTAATTTAAACATAAGTCTATTATTATTATTATTATTATTAGTTTGATTTATTTTATATATAGGTAAAGATAGAACTTATAGATTATAGGTTCTATTAAGATAACTACTGATAAAATAAAAGATTATCAACAGTTAATGGGAAGTTTTAAAACATCCTATTTAGTTGGATAATTATTACTATTTTTTTTTTCAAAATAAAGATTAAAAGGACATATTTAGTTGGCTGTTTTTTTTAAAATAAAATAATACATTATTATTATTAGTATTATTATATTATTTTATTACTATTATTAGTTTAATTTAAACACAAATCTATTATTATTATTATTATTATTATTATTATTATCATTATTATTAGTTTGATTATTTTATATATAGGTAAAGATAGAACTTATAGATTATAGGTTATATTAAGATAACTACTGATAAAATAAAAGATTATCAACACAATTTTTCATTGATTATAGGACTCCATAGTAAAGGATGGAGAGTTATAAAATTGTTTTATCTAAAACTATTTTTTCCATTAATGTGTGTGTAGGAACTTTTAAACTAATAATAATTAAGATTAGACTAAAATATATAATTATGCATAAGAAAATAATCTGAAATTGATTTTGTTTTCACGCATATTTGTTTTTTAATTAGCTTTTTAATAGTTAATAAATTAATTGTATATAACACATAAGTAATAACAATAGGTTTTATGTTTCAAGCATGCATTTATAATATAATTTTTTTATGCAATTAAAATTAAACTTCAATGAATTAAAGTATAAAATATTGAGAACTTCTTAAATTATATATCAATTAAAATGAAAATAAATTGTTAATTGGTATTTTTTTATATATATATTAAACTTGTGTGTTTTATGTCAATTCACAGTTTCTATTGCATTACTTTTTTTTTGTTAAATTTCAAATGTCAGTTTTTATGTTTTTTTTACGAAATACAGTTTTATAATATATTTTTTTTTAAATACTGCAAGTATAGGTACTTTCATTACAAAATACAGTTTTATAATATTATTATTTTTAAATACTGCAAGTATAGGTACTTTCATCCCAAACCCATCCTGTTTTAGGATATAGTCTTCTAGCATTGATAAGAAAAGCCTAAACTAAAAACAAATACATCACTTTCAAGTAATTAAAAATAAAATAATCTAACACAGTCAAATTTTAATAAATTTAATGAAAAGAAACAAAGAAAGTACATCTCCTTTTAAATGGAGTAATAAATTATATACAATTGCAAATCAATAATTAGATGAGCATCAAACTGATTCAGATTAACTTCAACTGATTAAAGGTTTACAACAACTTCGAAGTAGATAATCAAAGATAACAAACGAAGACCTTCACATAATACTCTATGATTTGCACATAAGAATTTGATAAATAAATTTTAAGAATAAACAAAACAGAGGGTATATGTATTAATTCTAATTTTTACCTTTTGAATGTTTGACAAATATTGTTTAGGTATAATTAGAGTTACTTCAATAACTCAATATTTGCATATAACCTTGTGTTCTTCTCCCAATCAAAATCCTCACTCGACCTTTTCGTCTTGTAAAATCATCTCCAAAGAGTAAGGTATTTTTGCTTTGAATTTATCAGGAACTATCCACAATCAAATAACACGAACTTTCAAGTTCCAATGCATTGATTTGGATGTAATTTTTGAGATTGTGTTAAATTGTAAAGCCACTTATTGTTGAATATAGGAGAATAATGTAAAGTTATTACTGAAATATCTATATATAGTACGTGACTTTCAAGATGCAGTGAAAAATGTAGTTAAAAATTCCTTGTTTAGTGGATGGTTATTGATAAGTTATCTTAAGGAGTTATAAAACTGTCTTATTTGTGTTTATCTGTAAAAATATATTTATTTTTTAATATAAATTTTAAATACAAAATATTGATATATTTAGACTCCTTACGTAAAATATATACTCATTTATAATAAATGAGTATATTAAAAATGATAAAATTGTGAATCCAATATCTATAAAAATATGTTTATTTTTTGATATAAATTTGAAATACAAAATACTGATATATTTAGATTCCTTACGTAAAATATATACTCATTTATAATAAATGGGTATATTATAAATGATAAAATTGTGAATCCAATTTTCCTTGATTAAATGATTTGTAAAAAATGATTATTTAAAATTATATGTAGTTACGTATAAGTAAATGGGTCTAAATCTAAAATATCTAAAAGCTAAAATATAATAAAAATTGTGGTATTGTAACTACCGTACAATTACATAGGATCTAATTGTAATTATTGATATGTTTCAATATTTATTTAAATAATTATTTATTATTGATTATTTAAAAGTATTTAATATTTAAAATTCAAAAAATTGTGGTAATGACATGTGTCATTTTTTCTTCTCCTTTTATATATAGATAGATGTGTGTGAGATATAGACTACCAATTTTCAGCGATAAAATTCAATTCAAATTTTAGAGAAATCAAATTTTCAAAACAACTATAACAAATTGTCAAGATATTCTGTCGTAAGCTTTTAAGCACCACATTGCCACCATTATTTGTATGAAAGATATTTTGAATTATCTCCTAAACCAAGAGAATATTTTATGTAATTATACTTAGATTTTTTACCCTTATTCTATCCTTCACAAAATCACTTTAGTTAAGATAAATTAATTTATGCAATAGAGGATTAAGACTTTTTTGTTTAAAAAATACAGGATTAATAAGACTACTTATGCCCTTTTCCTTTCAGTTTTTGCTAGAATTTTTATCCTTTGAAAGATTTCACCATTTCAGTTACATAATATGAATTCCTTGTGATTTGTAAACCTTATTTTATACATTAAAAAATAAAAATAAGTTGTGTGGTTGAAGTTTCATTGTAAAGGACCCTATTAACTTGACAAGATCTAATTGTATTTTCCATGATATATCGTGATACTCGTGGATCATGTTTTATAAGTAATATATTTTTCGGCGTTTGTCTATGATTCTTTTTTAAAAATCGAACTTAAAAAATATGTTTGGGCATAAAATTTTAAAAATTGGATCTTTAGATTTTTAAAAAAATAAAATAAAAAACAACAAAAAAGTATTTAATTTTTTTTAATCCATATTTCTCACAAAAAGTAAAAAAATAACTCTAATTTATATTTATGGCCAAACATATGATATTATTTTTTATTTTAAAAATAAAACTATTTTTTTTCATTGGAAAGAGATCACAACTTTACTTTTAACATGAGTGAGGTAAATGCTATCAAAAGACTTCGATTTGGCTAGAAAAAGAGAGAGAGAGAGAGAGAGAGAGAAGGTATTTGTTGGCATATTATTTCTAGAAGTAAAAAAAAGTCTTTGGTAGGTTAGGAAAAAAATGTATTTATTGGCCTATATTATTTTTTATATGTATTTCGGTTAGATAATTGTATATTATACATATGTACTTGTATATTATGACGAGAGAGATTGGGAAAGGGAGGAGAGAAGCGAGCGAGATTGGGAGAGGGAGGAGAGAGGCGAGCGATTGGGGGAGGGAGGAGAGAGTCGAGCGAGCGAGGACAATAATTTGTATAATGCACATCTTGTTTGTATAATTTGCAGGTACGTTTGTATAATTCACATGTTTTTGTATAATTGGGAAATATAAAGTCTGAAATTATACAAATATAATAAAACTCGAAATAACGAATTAATTCAAACAAAAATGTATGAACTTTAAACAATTATACAAAAAATATATTATACAAATTATATTATATAAATTATATTATACAAAATCCAAAAACTACACGTTTATACAAACTTTAAAAAGTTATACAAAAAAAGATTGAATGTATGTGATGACAAAACTGAAAAACCAAAGGAAATCATCGTCATATACAAATACAAACAATCGTATACAAATACAAATCACACAAAGAATTGTAAGCTGCGAATTATACAAATGTGGCGAATTATACATATACAAACGTGACTAATTATACAAACTCGAAGTCAGCCCACGTAATTAATGTATAATGGTAGTCGCGAGTGGTAATTATAGCAAACTATAGCTATGATGAGTAATTAAGTAGTATAAATTGCTTAACCATGTAATTTTTCCATTTTTTTAATCTATCTTTTCAAATAATTAGGTATTTTAATTTTACCACTTATTAAGAGAGTCCTACCAAGTATCATATATTGAGGAAGATACATCTAGATACATACATTTTTGCTACTAGATACACTAATTTTTTTTATCTATATTTTCAAATAATTATGTATTTTAATTTTACCACTCATTAAGAGTTTCCTATCAAGTATCATATATTGAGGAAGATACACCTAAATACATTCATTTTTGCTACCATATATACTAAAATAAGGAGAGAGGCGAGCGAGAAGGGGAGGGAGGCAAGCGAGATAGTCATGTATATATCATGTATTTTTATATATCTGGTGTGATTCACATGTATGTGGGATACCGATACATAGAAAGTAGCGAGCTAGATGAGAGAGAGGCAAACGAGATTTGTTATGTATCTCAGAAACATGCGAATCCAATTGGATACAGTATATCTAGAACCATTTACATCTAATTCTAAACCAATGTATCCCAAGATAGATATATTTGGACGTATTAAAATCTGATAAGATTCGTGATCTAACAAACTAAAGTGTATCTAAATTATTTACTCCTAAACTAGTGAAATTTCGATAAGTTTTCCAAAATAAAATACTTTTTTTTGTCATTTTCTCCTCAATGGGTTAACAATCTAACACCAAACTTCCATGATATGTCGTGAATCATGTTCTGTAATCTTTATAATAACCTTTGCTGCAGCTAATTGAAATCTATATACACACTATTAACTTGTAATCATTTTATCACCACTTTCTTTTCAAAATCTTTTGTTATACTTAAAAAATAAATAAATATGGGTGTGAAAGGCAAGTTGATTGCTTCAGTAGAAGTGAAGTGTGGAGGACACTTGGTTCATGATATTTTTCACACCAAAACTCATCACATATCCAACATATGCCCTAGCAAGATTCAAAGTTTTGAAATTCATGAAGGTGAAACTGTAAAAGTTGGTTCAGTCGTTAACTGGAAATATAATGACGGTAATATATACACATTATTCCTTTTTCTACTTATGAATCATTTTTCTTTTTATATATTTAGGTGTGTTTGATGGTACTGAGAAAGTTCATTTCCAATTGAATATTTTTCATAAAAAAGTTTTTTAATGGTGTTTAGTTACCATAGGTTAAACATTTTACTCTAAAAAGGGAAAATAACTTCTTTCATTTGAGGGGAAAGTCATTTTTTCATGTGTCTTAATTTTTAAGATCATATTATTTGTTCCCAAAAGTTTATGTCTTATAAGTTTCAATGGGTAATATTATTATACGCAATATTTTATTTTATTTTTTACCGGAGCTCCCATCCGTTTTACTCCCTTGGTGACTCGAACTCGCAATCTTCGGGTTGGAAATGAGAGGTGCTTACCATCCGAGCAACTTCCTCTCGTCATTATACGCAATATAGATATGTGCAGAATCGAAAAAAATATTATTAAAAGAGTAATCAAGTTCTGAACCCACATTTGCAAAGTATAACGAGTATTAGTTGTATAAATATAAACGTTGAACTAATCAAATTTAAATCATTAATGATCTGTTTTTGTTTGCTCCAAATATTTTGACATTATTAATCTTTAGTAATAAAAATATTTATCAGAACACCTTCCAATTTTCTAAAGAAATGATTTAACTTTAGCTTGTACTTTTCATAAAACATTTTCTCATCATCAATCAAATATTGTGAGACGTTATACAAACATTTTACAGATTTCATTGGAGAAAATGAAAAACAAAGAAAAACCTATAAAACGATCGAGCTAAAAATATGTAATTGTGAATGTTCAACTTGAAGTTGCTTATTATCATCTCTTATATTTTTTATTTTATTGATTATAGATGGAAAAGATAAGATTTCAAAGCAAGTGATTGAAGTTGTCGATCCTCAAACTAAAACAATCACTTGGAAAGTGATTGGTGGAGATCTGTTAGAGTTGTACAATTCCTTTACTATTATCACATCATGTGACCACCAATGGACTACATGGACATTTCTGTATGAGAAGAAAACTGAAGACATACCAGAGCCTCTCGTTCTCTTGGGTTTTGTCCTTCACGTGACAAAAGATATTGAGGGTCACCTTCTCAAGTAATAAAGCATCAATGCTACTAAATGGCTCATAGCCCTATTTATACATATGCAAAATATATATATGTATGTTTACACACAAATATATATGTGTGTCTTTGTGTGATATTGACTAGCTAGTTCTATCTAGCTAGCTAGTGTGTGAAATAAATAATATTGTGTTTGAAGAATAAATTACATATGTTCCTCTCGTTCTAGAGATGTATTTTTAATGTTTAATATATGTAAAATATTATTAAAATTTACCTATAACAAAAATGATATATTTAATAGTGTGCTTTACTTATATTCTCATTCTTTTGTAGTCAATTCCTTTTTAGGTTTCTCTAATTTTAAGACTGGCTATAAATTTTAAACCTTTAATTACACGTTGGTTTCTACTTTGCAAAAATAGCCATTGGGCCAACTAAAAAATCTGGAAAGTGGAGCCCTAAACACCTCCAAACTTCCTAAAAATATTTTAGACTCCAAAGTTAAAATAAAATAAAATACATTTTCATTCATTTTTTATCTATAAATACTTTTTAAATTTCATCATTTTTTCTACCACATTAATCTCCTTATTATCTCTCAATTTTCTCTTTAAGTCTTAATTTCTCTAGCAATCTCTTATTATTCTTGCAATTAACAACATAAAATAAAAGTTTTCAACTTTGGTATATCATCGTTCCATCACTTATTTATTTAGTATATTACTTCTTAAATATTTAATTATTTTTATTTTTTAAAATTTAATTTGCACGATGGATAAAATAAGAAAAGTAAGTATAAGTGTTAAAATTTGTATCTCGAAGATAGTAGTGGTAGTAAGAAAACAAATGGTTCTGATAGAGATGTCAAGACATGCGCAAAGGTGCCAAACAGACCTTTGACATGTTTAATTTAAGTACTGCATCACCACTTTTACTGGCTTAAAGAGATATTCTAAATTATCTTCAAAATCAAGAGAATATTTTGATAGAATTTCTTAACATGAACAAGACTGTATACCTGTTAATAATGACAGAATATTGATTGAATCTTGTTAAAGAATTGCTTCAATCTGACTTTGAATTTCAAAGAATCAAAGTTATATTGCCACAAACTAAATATCTTTTTGTGTTGATATTAATAGGGGAAAACAGAGATTTTTCGTCTCTATCTTTTTTCTCAGTCTTTTTGTTCGTTCATTCTTTCATTGAGTTCATCACTATTTGTAAAGAGAGGTTAAACAGTTATTTGGTAAATGTTCCCTTTTTTTTGAAATTGAGATAAGAGATAATCTATCCTTCACAAAATCACTTAAGATTAAGATAAATTAATTTATGCCATATAATTTCTTTCTTTTTTATTTCTCTAGGTTTTTACTCTTTGAAACATTTCACTATTTTAAATTTAATTTCTTGTGAGTTGTAAACCTTATCTTCAACATATATTTTTTTTAAAATTATAAGTTTTTTTATTTTTTATTTTTTATTATAAGTTGAGGGGTTGAAGTTTCATGTTGAAGGACAACTAACACTAATCTTCCATGATATGTTGTGCCCCTTGTGGATCATGTTTTATAAGTATATACGTAGGAGATGTTTGATTATGATTTTTTTTTTTAAAGTTGAACTCTAAGAAATATGTTTAATCATAAAATTTTAAAATTAGAATTTTTAAGAACTTAAAAAAAATAATTAAAAGGTGTATTAACTTTTTACACTTTAAATTACCCACAAAAGATAGAAAAAAACAATTCTAATTTGAATTTATGACACAAATACAATTATACAACTCTTATTTTCAAATATTATATTTTGCTTTAAAAATAATAAAAAAATTGTTACCATAAAACATAATCCAACATCCTTTTATAATAGCTTTCGGTACAACCAATTGAAAGAGAACACAATTTTATTTTAATAGGAATTGAGGTCATTTAGAAAACAATATTGGCATATTATTTCTGGAATTAAAAACTTTGGCTGGCTAGGAAAAAAAAATATTTGTTGGCATATCATTTCTAGACGTTAGAAAAACTTTGATCGACTAAAAAGGGGGTATTTGTTGGCATATTATTATTTATGACGTGAGACAGAGTCACTAGTCAACCTTGCATTGATGTCAATATTTTTAGACTATAGTTTCTAACTATTTTATTACCACTTTCTTAATTATCAAAACTTTTTGCTAAATCGAAGATTGGTTCAATTGTTAACTGGACATATAATGACGGTAACATATACATATTTTCCTCTCTCTAGATATGAATCATTTTCGAACTGATTACCCTATTATTATCTCTTATGATTGTAGATGGAAAAGATAAAACTTCAAAGGCAAGTGATTGAAGCCGTCGATCATATATGAAACTAAAACAATCACTTGAAAAGTGATTGGTGGAGATCTGTTAGAGTTGTACAATTCCTTCACTATTATAACATCATGTGACCATGAATGGACTACATGGACATTTATGTACGAGAAGAAAACTAAATATATACCAGAGTCTCTCGTTCTCCTAGCTTATGTTCTTCATGTGACAAAAAGAAATAGAAGGTCACCTTCTCAAGTAATTAAACAGCAATGCTATTCAATGACTCATTTCCATATTTTTACATATGCAATATATATATATATATATATATATATATATATATATGTTTGCGCGCACACATATGTATGTGTCCTTGTGTGATATATTGGCTAGATAGTTTTATCTATCTAGCTAGTGTGTGAAATAAATAACATTGTGTTTGAAGTATATATTACATATGTATTTCCAATGTTCAACATATGTAAAAATAATATGAAATTTTCAACGGTCATCCATCAATATCTATTATCATCCATTGAATCGAATAATGTATCCTTAAAAATGTTTGGATGTTGGTTTTTCCCCTATTTAAATGGAAGAACAATGTTTTACCAAAAACTTGTATATCCTTGTGTTTATAGGTTATAGATCATACCATATTTCAACCAGAAGAATGTATGTTCCAAGACGTGATTTTTGATGAATTCACATTGCCTTATGTCAACTCAGAACAATCACAAATAGATTCAATTATTTCAACTCACTTACCTCTATTTGTTTAGTGTTTTATTTAGAGTTTTTGGCCAAATATCATTTATGGTGATGTTATCTTTAGAACCATTGTGGGAAGTCTTTAGTACTTGAGACTCACTAGCTAGACATGATATATATTTTATGCAATAAATCTGAAGAGGAGACTGACCCTGCCTTTCCCACATAAAAGTACAATAACACTTGTCTATACCTTTTATCCTTGTATCATCAGTCTTTGTACCTTCCTATCTAGTGTTATGACAACTTGTCATGTGTCATATTTTTTCTTGTCACCTCAACCTAGTTCTTCTTTGGCCTGCCTCTACTTCTTCTTAAACCTTCTACAGCCGGTCTCTAATATGATGTATGTCCACATCGTCATCTTCCCGTTACCTTAGATTATACAACCAAGATACTTGAAACTTTTTTTTGTGTGTGTATGGCTTATATATTGATCTTCCTTTTCACCTCCATTTCATGCTTTGAATCACTAAACTTGTACTTGTCAACCCCGAGCCTACACCCTGGGCTGGACTGGCACTCGAGAACCATTGTTGGCCCTAAACGAACTCTTGGCCTGACTTACTTACTCAGCGGAAGACTTTACTCAAGATAAATATACTTTAAAAAAATATACTGAACTGCTCAATAAATAACTTAGAATGTAATAAATAACAATCACTGCCAAAGTGGCAACTCAAGTCTCAACTTAACTGAAAGGGAAAGTAAAGATTCATGCACTAACATCACTAACTCTGTCTATGAAGCCTCTAAACAACTGAGATGGACGTCAGGACAAGACTCACGGTATCCTAATGAACTAAAATACTTAAAGCAATAAAAAGGATCATCCGAAAAGCTAGGAGGCTCACCAACTGACTTTGAGTGCTCAACTGGATCAACGAGGCACTGCATACTGATCCTGGTTACCTGTGTCTGCATCATAATAAGATGCAGGACAACTGGCATCATACATTGAATGTACGAGTATGCGAGGGGAAATCTAAAACAAGACATAAGTTTGAAAGGAACTGAAGAACTTACCTGGCTCAACTCAACTGAATTGATTTTAATATAAAGCAGTGTAAATAAATGCAGTATAAAGAAAAGCTTTAAAACATGGTTTTCAACTCTGTGTATTTAGAAATACAATAATAACTCTGTATGTATGCAAAAAAAAATATGAACTCTTTTTGTATATGAAAATACAAATATTTCTGATGTATATTAAAATACAAAATACTGCTATGAGAGTTTTTCTAACCGACAACCATCACTTAAGAGTTATCGTGATGATACATCGTTTTGCCTTACGCTGCCAGGGCCGTTGTTGCTCCCAATTTCACACGTAAGTGTACGCGGTCGCGCAAGTAATATAGTGGCTCTTAAAAGAACCAGATTATCGAACCCAAAGGACTTGTCAATTAACTATTTTTACTAAATTATACTGATCTAATTTATTTAGTTAAGAGAACCAAAAGAGAAGAATGCAAGAACAAAATAATAAAATTACTTACAATAGTTGGAAAATCTCAAGGCTGCAACATGTATTGGATTTCATGTATCATACTTTTAGCTTAGAATTCACTTAAGTTGTCAAATTACTGGTTTATAGGGTTGATAGTATGGTCCGGATGGTTCGCCTCTCGCCGCCTACCCCAGTTAGCCATCTAACTACATCGTTGAGCAGGGATAGATAAACTAACTGGCGAGCATTTATATTTTAGCCTATTTTGTAACCAAGCAAGGTGTTCGTCTGGGCGTCACTCCTGAACACTAATCACCTCAATCTAATGGGTGGACCAAGCTCTCTATATTCTCTGGTCTATCTAATCCCTCCTCGTTTGATTTTAAGATTAGACACTAGATTTATTTTATGGTGCACAAGCATAAAATAGTAAAACAAGAATATAGAAGTAATTTGGATTGACAACCGAAAATCAATTCATAAAGCCTCAAATAATCAATATTGAATCCGTAGCTACAACCCCAGAACAAGAGTTTTAGCTACTAATG